TAAATTTGCCTCGCTTACCAACAATTATGTTACAATGTTTAAATGTATTTTAAATATCTAATGGAAAATAAATATAGCCATCGTATCGTTAACTTTCGTCTTTCAAATGCTACGTCAAATCGATCGAAAAGAAACGATAAAGAGTCGATCGAATGTTAAAATTCATTTTCGGATTAAACACTCGACTTGAACACGAAACGAAAAAAAGTTTCGTCAAAAATGCAAGAGGCAACTAGAACGGTGTACATCATCGTTGTGTACACAGGCCTCGTTTGAAACGACGGCCCGCCACAAATCCACGTCTCAATTATCCTCCATCCTCCTCCTCCCCCGCCATCTTTCTCTCAACAATCAGCCGCCGTCCGTTTCCGACAGAGTGAATGGCGCAAAAAGCTGCTCCTTCTTCGAAGAAGCTCGCGCGGATGCATCGAAACGATCGTCCCAACACGGAAATACGTTTTATCCTCTCTCCTTCTTATTGTCAGTACCGTTTCCTTTCCGCCGCTCCTCGCAAAGGTTGACGTCGTTTCACGGTTTATACCTTTCATCGCGGATAATTTCGTTCGTCTCGCTTCTCCGGCAACCGTTTTCCCAAACGGCCGCAGCTCTATCCGCCGTTTACCATACGAGAAAAGGAGGGGGAACGATTGTTCCTTCTTTTGCCTCCCCTCCACCCTGCGATCGAAAACCCTCAAGTCGATCGATCGAATCGCGAACGAGGTCGAGTTATTTTTGCATCCACGTGGTGCAATTTCACGAAATTTCACGATCGCGGTTCATTTGCTCGTCGTGGCGTCGTGGTTTCGTCCGATGCCTTTTGATTGCTTTTCACATTGTTAATTTCCTTTTTTTTGAGGAGGAGAATATTGTAAGTTCGATGAATCATGAATGGTGTAAAATTGGTGGTTTTTGTTTTGTTTCGTTGATTTTAACGATTCGTGTAATTGTTTTAACGGATATGAAACGATAGAGAATGCGTGATTCGTTATGTAAAGAAATAGGTGATTGCCCATCCAGTGGAAATATCGATCGAATTTTGTCGATTGTGATTTTTGCCAAAGAAATTTGGAACTATTCGCGTGTGGTGGAACGATGGAATCAATCGAGGAGATTGTGTAATTATTACTGGAATACCTAGATAATTAATATCGTGATAAAAAACAATATTTTAAAATAAGTTTTACAAAATTTTAAAAAATTGCAATTTCTACCAAATTTCTAAAAACAAAACCTCGTTCATCGACGAATCCTCTGAACACGTTTATTCAAGCCATTATCGAAGGCCATTACAACAAGGAAGTGAAAGAAAGAGAGAGAGAGAGAGAAAAGATGGATGAAATTTCCGTTATCTGGTTTCCGTAAGACGAAGAATTGCAAACACCGATCGTGTGATTCGATAAAATGTCGAAATATGAGTTTGCGCAATTGCTCGCCCTTCGTGTATAATCGCGATAGTAAAAGCCGATTACGAAGCGCTGTCAGCTATTATCCTGTCTTTCCTAATCGGACATCCTTGTTAGTTGGGTGGAAGACGGAACTGTCATGCAGCGAATTATATCTTTAATAAACTTCGTAGCCGCGTAACGTCAGTCAACTGTCGGTTAATCGCAACAGCAACTTGGTAGAAAATATTTTTTTCATTCTTTATTTTCACGCCTGGATCACGGCTGGATCAATGTTTAAATTAAACTCTGTTTTGCGAGCTGGAAATTTTAATTTTTCTCCTTTTCTTTTTTTTCTATATAGACGACAATGGATACAACAATGTTGAATGGAAATTAAAAGATAATTTAATTCGTCGTTGCTTGCGTGTAAGGAAATGTGAATTAAAAAAAAAAAAAAATATTGAATAATTTTGTCGAGAAGAATTATTTAATAAGCTTGTATCTTTTATATCTGCTATATTTTTAATACTTAATATAATGTTCCTCGAAATAATTTTCTATAAAAATTAAAACTTCCCTTCCCAAACGTACAATCGTAATTTCATTTCCACGAATAAATCGAAATCAATTTAACATTCGATTTTTCTCGAATCGTAAATTTCAAGGTAATAAACCATCGTATATTTCGTATGATCACTTCTCTTTCTACTCGAAACACTCGACATTGTACGATATCTCTTGCTATCGGGTTCGCTGCTGCTGCAACTGATAACAACCCTTCGATCCACTCGATGTGAAAATGCGATATCGCGATAAAGTAACATGGATTACTTGCTAAAGATTAACTACAACAAATGATACGATATCGATTTGTTGCCAGCTCGAAAGACACCGTCTCATCGCCCTACTCTCCTCCCATTGTCGAAATTTCAACTTTCGTTTTCCTTCTTGCGATTCCCTTTTTTCGAGTAACTCGAGTGTCGCGTCATAGACTATCAACTCGAGATCAACTACGCCATTGCGAAAAAGGAAAACGATTAAATGCAACTGTGTTGGAGTGATTTGTAATTTGGAGTGAATAACCGAGTTTTTGAAAATTGATAAGATTCAGATGACGATCTTTTGAATATTTCAAAACCTTTTGATAGAATGTATATACTTTCCAAATATATTTACTCGAAAACAATTCGAGTTTCATCTCAATCAAATCAATATTTCAATTTTAATCGTCCTTTCTTTAATATATCTAAATAAATGCATATCGCAATTAAATCAAATCGCAAAGAATCGTAATATTTTCTAGCAGAAATTCGGTTATAGCGCCTTCCATTCGAAAACGTACGCGCAAAGATGAACCTATTCGCGAACCGAGCCGATCTCCAATCCAGTTTGTCGAGTTTGCACAATCTCGGAATAATAATAAGTCATATATACCGGTAGGAAATTCAGTAGTTGTAACTAATTACAATCTGCATTCGCATGCAGGTTACCCTGGTAAATTGCGCGCGCTTACTTGCTTGTCGTATCACCACGGATATATCTGTTCAAGTTCCACGTCTTTCAGCGAGGAACGTAGCCGAGCGCGCGCGCGCACACACACACACGCGTGCTCACGGGTTGATACACCCACGCCGGTGCATCGAGGTGCACGCGTTGCATGCGGCTAGGAGAGGAACACGAGCAAAAACGGAGATTGCGAGATCGGTATCGTGTTAAATGGGAAAGCAAATTTCGCGCCAACCGTGTTCCTCGAGTCTCTGTTCCTGGAAAAAGTTTTCTCCTCTTCCCTATTCATCTATGCAACAGGAATATTTTGAGTTGATTTTTTTTCTAATAGCGAAATGGAATATTGGAGATGTTTTCTTTTTTTGTATGGAATAACATGTGAATCTATGGAGTTTTTAAATTTTCAAGAAATTATTAATTTTTGAATTTACACTGTTTTTCGATTTTCGCGATTATGAGATTTCTGTGAGGATTAATATTTTTATCGTTTGATAATCCGTGATTGATCGAAATAATATATTTAATATTTAATATTAATTTAATATACTTTTGGTATTATTAATTATATTATAAGTTTCTTCTTTTATTTGAATATTAAATAAAAAAAAACGAAGCAATTGATTTTATAAAAAAATACAATTCATGAAAAAATTCGATTCGATACGTTTTAATATTTGTCAGTCACAACGCTGATATTAATTTAAAAGAAATTTCTAATAATGCTATTTGAAAAAAATAAGTATTTACGATATATAAAAATGTTATAAAAATTGTATAAAATAGATTCCGTTAAGATTTTTAATCATTAAATAAGATAACGATGCAATTAGATTAATTAGAAATCAGTTTCTTTTGTTATTATTGGAGTATATTATTTGGAGTAAGTATAAACAAGGAAAGCAAATGGTAAGAGAAGGATGGAGATATGGTAAAAATATTGAAATCAGCGCCATCTCTAGAGTGCCGCAAATGAAACAAAATAGTAAAGGATAGAATATAATAAAAAAAAGGACAGAGATAGAATAAGAATCGACCACTAGCGTCATCTCTTGAATATTAAAAATATTTCTTCAAAATAAGATAAGGTAGAATTGACTGTTAGCACCATCTTACGATTATCAACAACATTTTACGATTATCTTTCTAAAAACTGTCGAAAGATGGCGCTGATAGTCAATTTTATTCTTATTTTTGATTCATTTGTAACTCTAGAGATGGCGCTAGTTTTAATATTTTTACTATCTCTATCCTTTTCTTACTATTTGCTTTCCTTGTCTATTCTTATTCTTGGCGCGTAATCATAGACGAGATACGAGTCGATCGAATATATTTTCATTATTTCTCTTTTATTTCTCTTTCTAATTTTCTATTTTATATGTATATATATTTAAAAAATAAATCAGTTACCTGTGTCAAGAAGCATGCGATTTGTTGATCTTAGATAATACACAGCACAGCATTCGGCATCCAACTTTTCATTTGTCCAAAATAATGATAAAATATAATGATACTCGCGAATAAAACACAAAATTATTACACTCACGAATAAACGCACTTTAAACACTCGTAAAAAAAGCATATGTGTTTTAAATATAAAATTCACACGCAATTTTAAATTATTTTAACAATTGAATACGCGTAACTTCGACTCGTCCTTACGGTACCACGGTCGAAGCGGAACTGATTCGTAACGTGCGACTTTTTCTCGCTCGGTAAACACAGCTTAGAGGGCAAAATCACACACGTACGTATCGATAAGTATTATTACTTCGATCATTTATTATTTTAACGATTAAAATATACGATATTTAAATATTATGATTTTTAATATTTTACTAATATATAAATAATAATATATTTAATAAGTTAAAGTTAAATTTATCTTAATAATTTCGATTTGTATTAAAACACATATGTATTAAAATATTTTAATTACTTATTCGTGAAAAGAATGATAAATATAAAATAATCATACATTAAATTGACACGAAATGATTAATTAATCACGAAACAAAATAAAAATTCGAGTTTCACTCAAATTGAAAATGCGAAAATAAGTAAAATCGATTTCTAGAAATTTTAATTAACTTTTTATACTTACTGTTACAGGTTACCTCTTTACTTTTAGAAGGTGAACGCAGAAAACTTGCGGTCCTCCAGAGGGAACTGCAAGTTGCTCTTGAAGAAGGGGGAAGCGTGAAAGTTAAAGAAAAGCAACGACAGGAATTGCTGCACGCCATATCGTAAGTAGAATCAGTACGTGTTTTATCAGACGATGGTTAACTGCTCAAGTCATACTCATTCTTATTTTTCACTCTGAAATATACATATACGTACAATATTAATAATATTACAAATTGTAAAATATTTTTATATTTAACACATGAACTATATCTTATTAAATATATTTCTATATTTTTCAAATCGATAATTAGTCATCTCAAAAAAAAAAAATATGTATTAAATTTAAAGTAGATATCTTATACCGCTATACAACTGCTAGAAGCATTAAAAATTTGATAGACACGGCTGTTCATTAGCTTCAAAGCTTCAATTAATTTCCTCGTGATCCCCATAGTGCTATTCCAAGATTTATTAATACCAACCACCGGTGATTCCCACGACAGTCAACAATCCTTCGTTTCATTCCGTACGCTATTAAACCTCTATAAATAAGAATTTCGTTATCAACGCAGTATCTCGACGCAACACGAGAATCAAAAATACCAAATTATACGTTTAATCCCTCAGAATTCATTTTTCTTACGCGACGAATAACGAAACGGAAAAAATTCACGTTTGGAAAGTGGAGAAAAAAAAAAAAAAAGAGAAAGACTCAACTCAGCATATGGACACGTCGCTGGACGCGAAAATAATCGCGGGCAAAAGCTTTTACCGGTCACGTCGTCCCCCTCAAAAACTTGCCTGCGAAAGTTATCGAAAACGGTGGAACGAAAAACTCGAGCAAGGAAAACATTCATTTTCCCGGCCGGTAGTTTTCGAATAATATATTTTGCAAGTTGGCATCGGACCCTCGCTAACACCATCCACGGAGTTTTCCCCTCGCTCTCGTCCCCGGAACGGAACAGGGGAGGAGGATTAACTCGTTCAAGATTTATTAGCGGCTGTCCTCCGGCGCACTAACAATTTGATCAAACTACCGTGGAATTATGCAGTTTCGCCTAGCTTCCGGCGCGAGTCGTTTGCGAAGTCGATGCCGCCGAAATTGCCAACTTCCACGCCGCGCGTTTCATCGCGCGTAAAGTACGTCGCGATTAATGAATTTCTCGCTTGCGATTACGCTCCGCTGCTAATTTTGCGCCTTGGCCGGATCCACGAAGGTTCGGATTTTAGATTCGATGCTCGACGAATCGAAGTTTTCGTGAGAGCATTATTTTGAACGGGTTTGTAGCGATTGGTGCAGGAAAGGAAAGGGTGAAATTTATTTATTTGTAATCAATGATCTCTCATTGGAGAGAAATTATAATTGTACAAATGATAACAAAGAATTGTTGAAGCTTGTTGGAAATAGATGAATTACAGAAAATTGTAAGGTTTTTGTACAAATTATAATCGTTCTTCGGTCTAACATTTGAGATTCGGTTCATAAAACATTTCACGTTGAATTTACATTTTCATACGATATTATAACGAAGATACATTAAATTGTAAGATACATTCATTGTGGGGTGTTGCGCATATCGTAGAGTAAATTTCACAAGAAATTAAGAATTTAATAATACTCATTCAACGGATGTCCGAAGTTCGTGCAGATTCTAATCCAGATAATATATTATTGGAAATTAAAGGAATATTTAGTTTGGAAACTAATAACATGAAATTCTGCAATATGCTATTTATTAAACGTTCTACATCGTTTCTAATTTCAATCTTTGCTCGATCACTCGTTTCGAAGTAAAATTGCAGAAAGGAAAAAGTGAATTCATTTTCTGAAACTGACGTATCATCGTTCCCGTGTACTATAAATTTGCGTCTGTTTTGCTTGAAGAATTGCCACGAGAAAAATTTAGAAATAACAATTTAGGGAACTTTATTAATGCCGCGATCCTTGAAATTTAATTCTGCAACAATCCAAAATTCGTAATGAATTACGGTGTTTCAAAGTGCGCTCGGTGGAACAGCGAAAAATATTCTTCGTCGAGAATTGCTCTCACGTCTGCGTAAATGCAACAAGCGTGAAATACAAATTGCGAAAAATTCAAATGTAACTACATTCATCTTTCTGTCTAATCTGGAAATATGATACGCGCGGCAGATGTGCACAATGTTTCTGCACTTACATAGTATATACATGTATATATATATATCTTTCAATATCGTTACGTTCTAAGAATATTAAAATAAGAAATGCTTTACCCGATTGGCTCGAACTTTTGAATCCGCCATTCGATATCATCAAATTCAATATGCCAAAACCGATATTCACCACTTCTTTTTTTCTCACAATTCCAGAAGCCAAGACTAAACATTATCCAACCAATATCAAACATTCCTCCCACATTCTCTCAATCCCTACTTCTTTCCACCCAACGAATCGCCTCTTTTTTAATTAAATCCCAAGCGAATCCAGTCAGCATCCCCTGGATGATAAGCCCAGGATCGCGGTTATACACACGTACACACGTGGATTTTCGAAAATCTCGAAATCCGGGAAATTAGGACCACGTGACGTGCCAACTTCCCGGGGCGCTTCCGGGTCGAGCGTCTCGAGCGTTCCGGCGACACCTCGAGGAGAAAATCCTCGAGTCAGCGATATGTAAAGCTGTGCATTTTCCTCCCCCTCCTCCCTTCTTCTTCTTCCTTTTTCTTTCTTTTTTTTTTTTTTCTCCACCTCTTTACCCTTTCTGAGCGGGCAATGTTTGCACAGCTTCTCGTGGCGTTTCGGCGCTGTTTGCGGACGCCGGGGGGCGCGCCTCGTCGATTATACACAGCGACGACGAATTTAGAGGATCCAGGGACGGGGTTACGCCGTTTTCGCGACGTCTAATTACGGCACAACCCGCTTCACCCATGCGAGAACGCGTGCGAGTAACAACGGAATAATCGACCATCTTTTCTTGAGAATGAATGGAGGGAAATGAAAATCGTAAGATCGTAGAATTTGGAAGAAAACGAATTGGATTCTTTCAATTTTTTGGAATTTTTTTTCTAGAAATCGCGGATCAAATTTTTGAGAAGATTTTTCAATTAAATACAGTTTCAAGGAATGTAATTGTAATTTTTAATCGAAACTTGTATATTGATTTTTCATCTAAGATTCGAGATATAAATACACTTTACAATAGCATTAAAATTATGGAGTTATTTCAATTTTTGGAAAGTGATATATACATAAAATATTTTGAAATAGCTATTGCTATAATAATTTTAATGTAGTAATAATTGCAAAATAATTATCAATCGTAATTAATTTCCCTCAAAATTCGGTAGAGAATACAAATTTAATATTATAATTTCGTCATTAGCGATGTTAATTATTACAACGTCGTTTATCTTTAAAATTCCTTTTTCGCATTCGCTTACACACATGATTTATAATTTGCATTAGCGATACTTGTAATACGCTTGGTACAAGAAAAATCAAAGGAGAATTGCTAGTTCTTTTTTTTAATCAATTTAACCAGCATCGGTGACAGCTGATTATGGCTCCTCTCTCTAAAGATCGAGCGAATAAACCAGCAACCCTATTCAACACTCATATATCACTGTCGCCTCCCTGTTCATCCACGAGGCTATCTCGAAATCCCTAGACAATCTAGGTCCTCTCTTTCCTTCTTACAGGTATTTGCAATGGCATCACGCGTGTCACACTTCCGGTCTCAAGATTATCGCACGAAATAGAAAACTCGACGAGGAAAAACTCCGTGTTCGAGGGAAGATTTACGTTATTTGATCGGGATATATAGCGACTTGTTCGATATTGTTGAATTATTCATAAGTAAAGAGTTCTTTATTAGATGGCCGGATGTTGCGGTGTTTCTGCAATATAGAATTTAATTTGCTCTCAGAATTTCATAATAGGAAGAATCATTTTATATGAAATTGAAGATTGAAAAGTATTGCGATAAATTATCGTTGCAAACTATTTTTATTGTTATTTAGAAGTGAGGAGAAAACAAGTTTTGATAAAATAAATGATAATGGAACAATTTTTTTTCTACTTTTAATCTTCAATTATCGTACGTATTTAAAGACATAAAGAAGAAAATATAATATTTTTGAAAATTTCGTATATAAATGTTAGGAAAATTTAGTTTCAATAAACGTTCTCTAATATCATGAATTCTTCAATGCAAGAAAAATGAAAGAATGCATTTTTTAGGAAACATTTTTGAATATTTTATGAATTATTTTAACGAACAGACACTTTTTAGGAAATTGAAGCTAGTCAACGTAATTGAATAAATTTCATTAAGAAAATTATCTTTTCGAACTTCATCTCAAGTAGATTGAAGTAAGCCAAGATGATTCAACTTTTAATTTCGTTTCGAGGAAGAAGCATCTATTCGGTGAATAAGAAAGACGACGAAAAAAATTTCGACAATCTCGGTTAATCGAGATCGATACAATTTGAATATTTTCCATAATAAGCACAAGAAAAAAAAAAAAGAATCATCATACAAATTTTACAATTAATTTCACAAAAATAAAAAAAATAACTCGTATTATAAACTTTTACATAAAATTCAACCTAGTGAGAGTCAAAATTTAATAACATCCTCAATTCGATCGAACGGATAACAGCTTCGAAAGTCGTCGAAAAGGCAAAGGAAAAGAACGTGCGTTCAACTTCGATGATCCCCTTTCAACCTTAAGCATTCTCCGAAAGAAAGGGGGGGGGGGGCGATAGATTCGTGTCATGAATTTGTAAAGCTGTTTGCCCCCTGCGTAATTGCCGAACTTTCCACGAACATCCATCCTTCGAACTTTCTCGATTCGTAAATCACCGTGGCCATGAAACGCGGCCTCTTGGAAAAATTCGCCATCTCCTCGTCTTCGTTCAAGCTTCCTCGAACTTTCTTTTTTATTTTTTTTTTTTTCCTTGGAGAAACAACGAAAACGAAAATATCTTGGACAGAAATAGTCGACCGAAACTAAACGCGAGTTCGTGCGCGATCTAATATTAGGGAATTAAAAGAGGTGAGTGAAAATTTAGCGGCGCGAATTAGCCGGTCGTGTGCTTGCTTACAAATGGACTTCTTGCGCGGTGAGAAAGCGGCTCGTTTAGCGAGCTGTTTGCCAGGGCGGTTCCAAAGTAACTTTGCCGGCTTCGGTAAGAAAAATTGGGACGTGTGTGTGTAACAAAGTTTGGCGAGGATAGAAGTGGAGATTGAGTTTAAAACTGGGAATGGTTAATTAGGGAAAAGTATATATGTATAATGTTACGCCATTAGTCAAAAGTTTTTGGAAATTTTCCTCTTCTTATATAAAAATGTGAGAAAATCGGTTAATTGGAGATTCTTGAGATAATTTCAAGCAACTCTTTCCTTCGAAAAGAATCTTCATTACGAGTTCTGTTAATGAGTTATTAATGAAAAGACACTAACTAATCGAGAAATGGAATTTATTCGATACGAATAATCTGAAATTGTGATAAGAAATATAAAACGTTTCTATGAACGATAAATAAGTGATATAGAAAAAGGAGAAATTAAATAATCTTATCTTATAGAAAAATTCACTATGTAAAATTCTGATTATCTCGAAGACATTTGTACGACATGTACGTTTCACGAGTGAAGAGAAAGAGCGAAAAAATCATTTCAAGGATTTGATATTTCCATCGTTAACTGGGCGTAATATCTTATTATTTCGTCGCAAATCTCGAGCAAATCATAAAATATACATTTTCCAGTGCATTAACGCAAGAACTGTTTTATGCATAACGTAAAATTTTCCGTTCACTTTGCCGGCAGGAAAATTCAAGGACAGCACGAACAGCTCGACAAGGAATATAGGATCCACGCTGCCGGTGTTCTCTTATGCAACTCGAGGGGTTCCGGAAGGTAAGCGTTTTGTCATTATTCTTTCCTCCCTTGGCCATGATTTACCGAAGATAAATAACCCCCTCGATCATCGCAAACGCGATCTATTATTTGTTAGAGCGCAAAGCACTGAGGCCACCCGTCCTTCCGCTATTTTAACACTCGATTCTTCCTTGAATAAATTCGATCGATCGATCGAACCCTCCCCCTCCTTGCCAACGAGAGGCCAACGAGAATACCGTGGCTTACGTGGCTTTTTAAGAAATTGGATATTCCTCGGCTTTTTAAAGATTGTGTTGCATTGATTTATAGTTTAGTACAATATTTTTCATATTTATAAATTGTCCATATAAATCGTATTTATTATCGGTAATTTGTTTTTTTTAAATTGGTCTTGGAGTTTTATTGTATATCGTGAATAAATTTTCTTTATTATTCGTGAAAGAACAAGGATCGTTTTTTTTTATCGTTTTATATTCGTATCGTATTTCGTTGAATTTTTAAAATGTAATCTGAAAAGTGATTGATCGCTATTATCTTGGAAAATGCCATTGAAATATAAATACGGTATTACTTTTTATTTTATTCGCGTTTACCAGTCGTTAAAATTTTTACGATAAACAATTTTTCTTTTTTTGAACAAATACGTGAAAAAATTTTTGACAACTTCCAACAATGAAATATTTTTTACGGAATAAATTCGTATCCGAGATGAAAATATTATTCGAATTTGTGTTAAAAAGGAACTGGAAAAAAGTTGTCACATCTTTGAGCAGACAAATGACACCTACTTTCAGTCTCGATATATTATATTCGAGAAGAATGGAAATTTCCAGGGAAATCAGAGGGGTTGGTGATCTCTTTTCAACGTCACGTTACCTATCAACCTAACACATTCAATTTTCTCCCTTTTCGCATACAATAATCCTTCTTTGCCCGATGAATGAAAGATCGCTTCCTCTAATATATGTTCACACAATTTGCTCAAATGTCAAAATTATTCTCCATTTTAAGGAATATAAAAATTAAAAACCTTACCATCAGTTTGTTTTTCTAAAAAGTATCACCTTTATCAATACATACAAAAATTCTCATTAAATCACACACCAAGTGAAACTTATTTCATAAATTTTCAAGAGAATCTCCACTCCTGTCAAAGACAATTTTTCAATTCTGACGTTCCAACACGAATTTCGTCGTATTTTCTAAAATTACTACTCCTGCCATCCTTACCCCGCGGCTTTATCGTTCCTCTTCTCATCATCATTCCTCCATCGATCATCCGTTCCACCAGCCGGGTGGAGGAGTACAAGAAGAATCGAATCGTTTACTCACCAAAGTTCGCCGAAATGAATCGAACGATCGGGAAGATCCGCTCCAGTTTCATCGAGGGAAGAACACACCGTAACGACGGGATCTAAAAGAACGAGGGAAAGTTTCGAGCACCACCTCTTCGAGAACGAGTTCCATCGTCGAGCCCCCAGAATAATAGATATTCAATTCCTGCGTGTCGTCTCGTTCCCTCCCTTCGTCTCTCTCGCACCAGTTTCATCTTTCCTTCATCCGAGTGCCCTCCACGTTCCGGCCCACAATGTCTTCGCCCGACGAAAGTTTGGATTATCGCGCTTTGTCCAAGATCTGGAAGCAGCCAGCTCGTAGGGAATGACACTTCGAAGCAATCGAGAATCGGCCCCGCTATCTCGAGCCGGTGAATATTGGAGAGAGGGGCGGCGAAGTTGTGAGTTTGACCTCGACGTGGTCACAGTAAGACGGAAGAACAGTGGAACCGACGATAAGGCAGGCAGCTCGAAGTAATTCGGGAAACAGGAAGTTCGATGCTCTTGCTATAGTGATTGAAAGATTAGATTTTTAAACAAGGCTCATGGTTATTTAATTCTGATTTTAATTATTTCTGGCTCTAGTTGAAATTTCTTAATTTTCCATTATAAACGGATGTTTCATTGTCCACTGCGATGGATCAGTTTTTATATTTTTTGCATTTTGCCAATAAACGAAAGCCTATTTTTTTTTATTTTTACCTCGTATGGAGAAATTTATTTGTTCTTTTTTTTTTTATTCTTCGTAATCTGATTTGATCGTAATGGATGTAATCCAGTTTTCAATTTTTTTTTTTTTTATTTATATAAAATCATCTGGTCAATTTTCTACAGTTTTCATAAAATTTCACCAGACCGAAATGTCCCTGTTTAAAATAAATAAAACTCTATTTCGATTCGTAATTCTGCAAAAATAATGGAACAAACTGTCGCTTTTTCGATATTTGCAAAATCCAGGATTACATTCTATTCGCGCTGTTGATAAATAAACTCCGTTTACTCTCGATATAATTTGATATTCGCGTTATTTCGACGTTTCGTAAGTAAAGTTTCGAGCTTTTTTCTTTTTTATCTACACTTTTCTCTCTCTTCGGCACGAGCGATCTGAAAAATTTATCGACAGCATCTCGTGTAAAGTCGGCAAGGTGCAAGGGACATTTTAACTCCGTCACGGGCAGTAAGCTCGGCGCAAAGATTGAACACACAGCGGGCAATTTAGCGATAAGATGAAATATGAATTCGAGATACCACGGCTCGGGGCGTTTCTCTCCCGCGTCAAACTGTGCACACAGCCAGTTCCTTTTAATTTCTTCCGTGCTTCTTTCTCATTTCAAAGAAGAACTAATTTCTGCAAAATTGCAACCCGCCTGGAACGATTTTGAGGGACGTCTGGTGATACAATTTCACCTCGAGGACCGATTAAATTGACTTCATTCAATTTCGCCGTATTTTTCTTCCCTTCCATATCCTTTAATATGAAAATTGTATATACGGAATTGATTAACGTTTGAAAGTTGATGATTAATAAATTCTATTGTTCGTACACAATAATAGCTGCTGTATCAAAATAAATCTTTGTATTATAATCTTCTATAAAAAATATTTTCTTACCAAATTCCGTACAAGAAAATGGAAGAGAAAAAGATAAAAAATCATACACGGAATATACACGGAAGCTAATTACACCTATCCATTCCACGTTTTGGAAATCGTCTTAATCCCTAACATGCTCCAAAGTCTAAGCGCAACTTTCGCCCACGAGACTTGACTCCGTAACGCGTCTAACGACCATTCCCACAATACTCGGATCTCAAATTTCGCGGAGGGCGGTGATATGCCGGTATGAAACGCGAGAAATGAGAAAGCGAAACGTCGTGGAAACTGAGTAAGGGAAAACAATGACGTTATACAGGGTGCTCTCTTGCGTTTCCGACCGAACAGTGTAATTTAGAAAATGATAAGAAGAAATATCGTGTGAATTCAATAGAAAGCAAAAGTTAAATTAGTAGTAATAAAAGATAAAAGAAGGAAATATAATAGATTATACAAAAAGTTCTAGAGAGAAAAAGTAACGAATTAATTTAGTTTGTTTCTAACCTCTTTCCACCATTATTACTATTTTCTTCCCAATACAAATAATATATTCGATTAACTCTAACACTTTGGAGACAAGAATGAGAAAATTTAACCACTTTACTTCTAAATATCGTTACTTTTTAAATCGTTACTTTTTAAAATGAAAAATATTTTTGGCGATTGATTACGTTACATCACAATAATTTAGCCAAAGGAAGTAGTCTCTGTACGCACTCCAGTCCTTATTTGTTTAAATACCATCACTACTTTTACTCCACTCTCCTCGACAAAGTAAATTCTGAATGAATATTTCTGAGCCAATTCTGATTATGCTCCTACACACAATTTAACCGGAAAACAAAGGGACACCCTGTATACGCGAGCCGCGTATCGGAGGAACGAGTTGGGGTAAGGATAATGGGCCACGGGGGACAAAAGGGCGGCGGAGAAAGGGCGCGCGGGAAATAATATGAAATCCGAGGCTGTGGGCCGCGTCAGATGAGAGAAATAAGAAGAGGCACGGCCTGGAAACGAGGATGGCGGAAAATACGCGAGGACCAGATGACGAAGCGCAAAAACGAACGAGGAAATTACGACGAACGAGGGAGGAGACGGTGGATGACAACGCGAGAGGAGGAGAAGGAGGAGGAAGAGGAAGAAGAAGAAGTTATGGGGGACGAGAAAGGAATGAAATATGAAAGACACGCGAGCGAGGCTTGAAGAGTATCGAATGTGCGCGCCAATTCGTGGCGGTTTCCGGTGCGTTACCGATGGTGGAGGAGAATGATGGAGGAAAGGTGAGCGAAATTTGTGGATGTGAAGGGATGAGAAGTGGCGAGGTTAGATTAGAAACAAAAGTGTGACGAGATTGGAAATTAAAAGGAGGTACAGTTTGGGAATATTTTCTTGAAGAGAAGAAGAGTTTATGATGCATGGATTAATAGTGCGTATGAATTAAAATAAAATGGAAGTTATAGTTTGAATAATGGAGTATATTGTATTATACTCTATGAATAATAGAATAATGAAAAGTTGTTGAAAATTAATTTCAATACAATTTTCTTGATAATTAAAAATAATCATCATAATAATATCAAGGATACTACAAGGATTAATGTAAAATTGATTGTGAAATTAGAGATTAAAAAAAAATCTCTTGTTTCTTCTCGTATCATTAAATATAAATTGGAGTATTCAGCAAATAGGAAATGAAACGAGGGAGCAGAAATACAGTAGAAGGAAAGGAAGTATCGAGCAGAAAGGGAAACAGATCGGATGAACGAATAAACCAAATAACGACTTCCGTATCGATTTACAATTTTTTCCATTTTCCTTTACCTTCCTTCCTTCCTTCTTTTCCACTGTTCCTCCCGTTTTTTAGACTTCTTGTTCGATCTTTCCTTCCTTTTCATTCCTTTCACGTTCGACAAACGAGGTTGGGATGCATTAGTGGTGTCCAATTACAGAGCCGCAATGCACCCTGCCTCAGACACGTTATTTCCACGAAGACGCGCCGTTCAAAAAGAAAGTAGAAACTAAGCTAAAATTCTTTCCCTCTCTTTTTTGGCAGGGAGGCGAAATTTGTTAAATTTGTACGAAAGTTTCGAAGTTCAAATAACAAGCCATTCATCGATTTTTAACTTCGAACTTCGTCACAAGAATCACTTTAAAGGAAACAACGTTTAAAGGAAAGAAAATTTGGAAGAAAGAAATATGAAAGTAAAATTTAACATCGAAAAGATATTTAAAATAAGTAAAAAAAATTTACTCCAAATTTATTTGTTTTTTCATCATCTTCTTGTAGTTAATTGACAAAAGAAAAAATCAAATATTTCGGAACCAGTCGAAATTTATTATACCAGAAACGATCTCTACGAGCATCGTTAATCGAGAATT